TGCCCGCTACCCACCCGAGCCCGCCCAACCCGGCGCAGCCGCAGCCAGGGGCCTGGGCCTGGCCCGGGGGCCGGGCCCGGCCGGGGGCCAGGCCTGGGGCGGCGCGAGTGGAGTCCCTGACAGTTCAGTCCGCCGCCGACCTCCGAGCGACATGTGCCGCTAATCCGAGGCGAGCACTCGCGTGGTCCAGTCTGTGACTCACCCCCGCCCCATAGACCGGTGTGCCCGTGCGTGTCAGTGAGCCCCCGCCCTTGTGTGCCCCCCGTCGAAGACTGAGGACTTCCCCCCCGTGCTGCCTGCTGCCGCCGACCTCTGTGACCTGTGAACAGCTGCTGTGGCTCTCCGCACCCTTGGCGTCCGCCGTGAGGACTGAGGACTTGACCAGGACCCCGGGGGCCGCATGTGTGCCGCTGCCCACCCACCGTCTTTACGCGAGTCACTTTGCCCGGTCCCGCACGGACTTCCCCTTGGCTCCACGATGTGCGCGGGCCGCGGGGCCACCCGGCTCGATCTGGACGACCTGGCGCTCGACCACACCGACATCGGCCAGGCCGTGAGCAAGGTGCTGCAGGGCTACGACTGGACGCTCGTCCCCGTCACCACCAGGTAAGCCTCGGGTCGGCGCGCGCCCGCTGCAAATTTGGAACCGGCCGGGTGCACTTTGCACTACTCCGCCTGCTGACGGCAATTTACGTTCATTGTGCATAGGAAACGCCCTCCTCGTTTGCACTCTCACTTGTAAGAGCCCTTCCTCCCCTCCCCTCCGGAGCGTGGCTGTCGCGTGGCGCTGGAGCGTGGGAGAGACGGGGGGCCGCGCGTCAGCCGCGCCTCCAGCGAGTGCTAAGTGAAACTAACTCGCCCCTCGCGCCCCCACCGCACCTTATTTGCACTCGGCGCGACGGCGCGAAACGCTCAGACATTTCGACCCTCTCCCGCGTGCATTTTTGTCGCATTTCTCATAGAGGTGGCTGACGGCGCCTCGAGGGCACGTCAGATAGGTTTCAAACTCAAGGAGGATGCAAATATTTTCTTCACTGTTTTGTATAGTATTGTGGGCTTAAAAAGGTGTTTGAGTGCGTTTCCACAATCCACGACGCGGTGAGGGCGAGAGAGGGAGAGGGAGGGAAGGAGGGAGAGAAAGAGGGGGGGGGGGTGCAAACAGGAGCAAGTTCGCCACGTTTCAGGACAGCCCGGTAGCCGTGTCGTCGGAGCAAATAGGCAAACACAAATTGTTCGCTTCGCGCAAACGAAGGCCTAGCCTGATGAGCTGGCTTCGTTTGGTTTCCCACGTTCGCGGACTCTCTTCGAGCAGCAGCGGTCCTCGTCGATAAATATTTTTCAGTAAAGACACACGTCCAGACAAACCGCGACGACGTTTTGTCTTTCAAAAACCCGTGGAAATCAGTGCAGGAGAGAAAGGCTTCACTTACACTGCACACGGAATGTGAGGTGTGGAGTGGAGGGCTGGAGGAGGGCGCCTCGCCTGACATGAAGGCCCGCCCTGCCCCGCCCTGCTGCAACATGCCCTGCGGTGGGGGAGGGAGTACATTTCACCAGTTGGTCCGTGAGTTGCACAAGGCAATGCGTGTAGCTATTGGTTTGCAAATGCCAGCCGACTGATTCCG